ATAGTATAGATGGATGGATAGATGGACATATAGATGGATGGATGGATAGATAGATGTATAGATGGCTGGATGGACTGATTGATGGACGGATAGACAGACAGACAGATGGATGAATAGATGTATGGATGTATAGATGGATGGATAGATAGATACTTTATTAATCGGGGGGGGGGGGATTCTAAATGCTCTGGACTGGGAGCACCTCAGGATCCTTCAGTAGGAGCTGGAGAGGAGAATGTCTGAGTCACATCCACTGCTCTAATTAATAAATGTTCTTCTTTTAAGGTTTTATGTATCGAACGTTACTGCTAACCATTAAACAATAATTTTTTTTGTTAAATACTCGACTGTATTTACTTAAAGAGGTGATTCTGTGTCTGCAGCTGCCGGATAAATCCATGGCCAGCCTGGTTCGGTTCTACTACTCCTGGAAGAAAACTCGCAGTAAAATGAGTCTGATCGACAGACAGACCCGGAAACCCAAGCAGGAGAAGGGCGACAGGTGAGCAGAGACCGGGATGTGTTCATGATGGTGGAACGTGCCGTGCGACGGGTCAGTAACTCCCGGCGTGTTCTGTGTAATTCAGCAGTGACGACGAAGCCGAGCCCGGTACCAGAAAACCTCCCAGTGACTCGGAGGTTTACTCAAATAAAGACAAGAAGGAGGTAACTGCAGCTGAGCTGTAAGTTGTACTTTCTTTATCGAGTCCTGACTGACCCGTCTGACTTGTTACAGCCGAGTTCCGAGTCCGAGAGGTCCGAGGTGAAACCGGCTTCTGCTTTTAAGGTAAGAGCACCATCTCCTGCTCCTCCATGGATCCCTTTGTTTTTCTTTCTGTCTGACGAGTCGTAGTAACCCGTCTTCACACCACCCGTCTGTCTCTGAACCAGCAGACCGGTGGTAAAGTGTCTCAGCGGATGAAGAAACGTCCTCCCAGAGGGATGTTTCTGAACCAGCAGGACGTGGCGTCCTTGGCGTCTTCGTCGGCTCAGGGAGTCATCCGACAGCTCGACTGTCAGCTGGTGTCCATCAAGAAGCAGGTGCGTGGCCCCGTCTCTGTTGGAGACAGAAAGACGGAGGACTCGTTTACCGGTTTGTGTCTTTTTCTTTCATTCAGAATCAGACGATCAAACAAACCAACAGCACTCTGAAGGAGCAGCTCAGCTCTGGAGTCGAGGAGTTTAAGCTAGCTGAGGTAACCGTGGCTACGCAGCGCGTCCTGCGTGGCCTTCACTGGCGAGTGTCCATCCTGTAGGAAGTGTTTGGTGTCTGTAGGTGTCCTCTGAGACGTCTCTTGTCTTTCAGATGAACCAGAAGTTCAACAATCGCTGGACTACAGAGGAGCAGCTGCTCGCTGTCCAAGGTAACGCCTCAGCTAGCTGCGACCAGGTCAATTTACCTGAAACTTTACGAGGCAGCGAGTTTCCTTCGTTTAGCTCCACTTTACTACAAACATTTTACAAAACAACAAGTTGTCCCTGAAAAACTCATTTTGTTCTCTGCATTTCATACGGAGTTTTAAATTAAACTGGTTTGTCAGCACTGAGCAGCCGGGACCACTCGAGGCCTTCAGCAGCTTCAGAGAAGGCCTAAGAATTCAGCACATGTGCAATGTTGCACTTCAATCTTTACTGAATGTTTATTACATCTATAAGTTTAGTGTAGTTCTTATTATTTTTTTGGTAATTTCTCATATTTTCTGTAAACTATTTTTCAGTATTTTGGTGACAGATTAACTTATTTTAGCATTTGTTTTGTTAATTTTAGCTACAGTTTAGCTGCTTTTAGCAACTGTTTCTCTCTATTTTAGCTAGTGTTCCGCCCATGTTCTGTTTATTTTGTATCTAGCTCATTGTAGCCAATGTTTACTCATTTTGGCCCGTGTCATGCTCATTTGGGCTAGCGGCGTGCTCATTTAGGCTAGCGGCGTGCTCGTTTGG